CGGCGTGGAACTCGGGCGCGGCGCAGGCCCGGGTGGTTCCGCTGCTCTCTCACAGCTCCTGGCGTCGCCGCTCTCCAGCGCCCGCGTCAGCGCCCTGCCCGCCTCAGCTCTGCCGCCGCCGTCGCTGCTGCTGCTGCCGCCGCGGCCGCTCCACTGCTACAGACTTGATTCTTCGACAGCCTCGCACGGCGCCTGCGCGGGCCTCCTCCCCTCGCGCGCGCGCGCGCTCCCGCCCTCCCCCGCGCCCTCCTCCCTCCGGCGCGGAGAACGAGCGCGGCCGGGAGAGCGGGCTCCGCGGCTCCCGCCCGCAGACCAGCACCGCCCAGAGCCCTACGAATCCGTGCCCCGACGTGAACGCGGTTCAAGTGGGGTTTGCTTTCTTCCACCGACTCTGCTACCTTGACCATTTAGTCGGGTCTTCCAGCTCCCTCCCTCCCGACCCACCAGTCCGTTTGGGTTAAATCGTGATAAAACCTAGTGTTCTGTAACTTGGTCGTTTTCAGTCTTTTGCCAGGGATTTTAAATCTAGTGTGGTGGTGGGGGGGGCGTATTTATATTTCAACGCCAAGTGGAAGCTGCGGGAATAGTGTTTGGGTGAGTGCTTTTACATTTCAATTTGTCTTGGGAAAGATACACGTACCGCCGTTTTCCTGAATTGTACTAACCGGAGACTGCCGGAGCCCAGGACCGCGTACTCATGCAGGATCACAAATGCTAGCTGCGAGGAGCGCGCGCTGCAAGGATAAAGACCTCTCCAACAGCCTTCCCCTACACCCTTCCTCTCCTCCCCTCTCTCAGCTAGAAGACGGCCCTAGGGAGCAAGAGTCCTCCCGGCAGCAGCCAGCCGGACACTTTAAGTAGGTCTGCGCGGCGGACGCGTGACGTGAGCGCGGGCTCGTGGCCCCGCGTGCGCCTCCGCCGCCGAGTGCGCACGCTCAGCGCGGACGTGACTCCACGCGGCTGGCGCCGGCGGCCTCATTGAACGCAGGCACATTCCAGGGATCTGGGTCTACGGCCAGCGCGGCCGCGTCACGCGTAGGCCCCGCCCTCTGGGTCCTCAGGCTCCACCCCGGGGCCAAACTTGGACTCGCGGTGACGCAGGCGCGAGCCGCCGTTTGGCTCCGCTCGGGCGGTGGGGGTGGAGGGCTTGCTGGCTCAGGGCTAGCGCAGGGGCGTGCGGGCGCGGGCGTACCCCCGGCGGTAGTAGGGCCGGAGCCGACTTGTGCCTTCTGCGCGGTCCGAGGCGGGCCTAACGTGTTGGTGATTGCACACCCGCCCGGCGCGAAGGCCGGGGTGCAGCCGCTGAACCCGCTGGGCCCGCCGTTCTGTGTGTCTATTGGCAGCCGGAGACTCTGTCCGGGCTGACTTGAACACTTGAGTTTCACACTTTGATCAGGAGGAGGAGCTGGTGTGTGTTGTGGTAGATCACTTTTGGCTGGTCGTTAGTCTTAATGACTAATAGACGCTGGCTTAGTCATCTCAGTTGGGACTTTTACACTTCAACTCTAAGGGCAGCCTCTGGAGCTTCTTTTGTTGGAAAATAGGCCCACATTTCTCCCTGAGACTGGAATGAGCTGGTTAAGTGTGGGAAGAACAGGGTACTAATTATATTATCTTTCCTACAACTGGATTGGTAGGTGAAGAGAAAAAAAAAAATCCTGCTGACGTTTCTCCCTAGTTTTTGCTATTGAAAATGCCAAGTTGCTTCAAAGGATTAACCACACGGAAGAGGGAAGAACACCCTTAGAGAAACAGTGGAGGGAGCTGCTTAAAGCACATGAAGAAACCTGTTTAAAAAAAATGGCACCAAAAATGTAATGCCAGTTCTAAATGTTTTTACAGGCTAACTCTAAATGGCTTTTGGGGGATTTCCAGATAAGGTGCGTTCCCCTGCCATAAAGGTCTTCCCATCTGTTCCAGGATCTTGCCCTGCAATTGCAATCCTGCCTCACTCTCTTCTAACTGGGAGAAAAGGCCCTACCCAAATCTTTCCAGGTGCAGTGGATTTGATCACTTCTGGGCCCTATTGTAGTGCCCCTCTTTTAGGATGGCCCTTTTATCACTCTGTGGAGACAACCCCCACCTTGCCACTCATTCTAGCAGGTTTCCCACTGGGGCTCTACCCCAAAAAGAGGATAAGAGTCCTGTCTTTGTGCTACAGAGACAAGAGCCACCCAAAGGATATTTGTAAACCTCCATTTTATTTTACACTACCAAGTTAATGTTGAAACTGAGTTATAACTTCCTAATGAAACACCAGCTGGAAAACAGAATGGCTATTTTAGTTCTACTCTCCCTTGCCATAAAAGGATCCGGAATTAAGGGGGTTAAGACTGGCCCTGGATTCAGGGCAGCAATTCCTTATATTGTATCAAAACTCTTTCATGCTGCCTGGCCTTTCATGTAGCTCTGAAGCAGCTTTATCGATGTATGCTAAGTAAACATAGCTTTGTTTTTGTCTTCCACCCACCTCCCTCCCTCCCTCCGGCACAGACTGGATTTGGATCCTTTCCAAAGTGGCTGCTGCAGCAGTTACAGCCGCCTCCTCCACACACAGGAGCAGGGTTTCTAGGGTGAGGCAATGCGTCTGCAATTCGCAGAGACAAGGCAGGAATTGTAATTGTAGTTCATCATGTGATGACTTATGAAAGAGGAAGTTGGTATGTTTTAGTCACGTAGACTCTGCCCTCTTGCTTAAGGCTCCAGGTCCTCTCAGAAGAGAATTATGATCATCTTTGCCACTCAAAGTCAAGGTTACTGGGTTGACAGCAGTGTGCTCCTACACATTCATGTGTGGACAGCCAGGTGGATGATGTGTGAAGTGTTGGTGGGGCTGTGGGTTGAGGCTGGCTTTTAACCAGAATACTGAAATGCTGCAATTTGTCTTAAGAACGAAAGGAAATGCTCTATGGGAAACACTCCTGCTGAGACTAGATGAAGCAACAGTCCTTTCCAGCTCTAATTTGTAAGACTTAAAAAAAAAAAATCACAATTTAGAAGCAAAAGGAAAGCTACTTAGTATGGTGCTAACAAAATGTAGGAGTAAGGGAAGTGATGGGAAGGCAAACTAAAGGGAGCAACCCTATGGAATACCTCAACGGGTGGAACAAATCTCATCTCCCCACGCTGAGATTTATGTGAGCTTCCACTGTAAACATTGACCATCTAAAATCTAATCTGGTCCCCAAAGTTTACACCAGTTGAGAAGCTCTTGTTAACACACCACAGCCTCATACCAAGAGGGCAGTGTCCAGAAATTGCCCCTACAAAAGGATCCTGATGGAGTTCCGCCCTGGAGACATGTGGCGCAGAAGTGTTGCCACTCATGTCCTCAGCAAGGGGAGGGTGCTTCCAGAAGGCAGTATTCCTAGGGCCTGCTGAGTTCACAAGTTTCACCCCACAGCCACATGTAGAATCACAGCCTTCATTCTTTAGAGTACAGTTTCTATTAATAGCAAGCTGTTGCAACCATACTAAAGCTTCTTAGACTCTGACTCTGGCATATTTGAAGGAGGAAAAATATGCAACCACATGGCATTTGGATTTCTGTGGATACCATTCCAGGCTCCTTGTACTCAGGCAGAATAGCTGCAGGACTAGAAGAGCACAAGTGATATTCAGGGCCTTTCCATATTCAAAAAAGTTATATTTAAACATTTGTTTATTTGAGTACAGCTACACATTCTGTGGGGAGAGTCGTGACATAAGTGAACTTTCTATAATAGAGATGAAAGCCTTTCTTCCAAGAAATAGCATTTTATGAGACAATTCTAGTGTTTTTCAAA